CAAAAAAAAAAAAAAAAAAAAAGAAATCTATGGTTATGAAACCTATGACATCTGCTAGACTCTATCAAATATAAAAATAAAAAGAACCTAGTTTATAAGCAGTTCTTGCTGCAATTCAAAAATTAAGCTTTCAGTATCTTATGAAAACAGTACAAAGCATTATAATTAATTCTATCCCTGAGTAGAAATTTTATGATCAGTTACAAAATAATATAAACTTCCTTCTCCCTACAGCCATAGCCTTTATTTACATATCCCTGAAAGCTGACTTTAAAACAAATTTAAACCACTTATTATATGATTCCATTTGTATGGAATACCTAGAACAGGCAAATCTACAGGGACAGAAATTACACTAGAGGTCGCCTAGGACTGAAAGAGATGGGGTGGGGGGTATAGGGATAGATTTTTAGTAGCTAAATAAAAATGAAAGAAAAATAATGGAAGTGTGTCATATGTGATCATTATAGGAAAAGCTGACCTATACAATGTAAGGTAAGAAAAACTAATATCTTCCCAGAAAATTTACCACTGAATGTGACTCTACTTGTATAAACTATGAAAAGTAAAAAGATAATTTTCATTTTCTGATTTGAGATAAACATCTGAAAATGTTTGTTACTCTAAACTCTGCCCGATGAGTAGAACAGTCAGAAATTCCAATCAGAGCATAAAGTGATGATCAACAGACTATAACACACAAAATTTAAAAGTATCAAATAAAGTACAATGTAATAAGCTTGCCTCAAAGAAGTACGTATAACAAAGTCAACTTTTTGAACTACCTGAATGGCATGTGTTATCAAAGACTTTTTGTAGAAGGGTCTTTGGAATGCGGCCAGTTCTTCGGACAGAATTATCTAGTCTCATTAGAGCCCAATCAAATTGACTGATATTCCTCCTGGGAGAAAAAGTGGATTCCTCTTGAAAATCCTTTTTTTCAGCAGCAATGGCATACAGCCTGGCTGGGCTCAGCAGCCCTCTGGAAAATAAAATATAATTAGTAATAAAGTCAGGTGCTGTCTCTATAGGTCATTTTCTTGAGACAAATTTATATAAATTTTTTAATTAGTTACTAAATACCTAAAATAACAGGGCAATATAAAAAAAAGTCAGAGCCGGGCTCGGTGGCTCAGCCTGTAATCCCAGCACTTTGGGTGGCTGAGGTGAGTGGATTGCCTGAGCCTGCAGGTTCGAGACCCGCCTGGGCAACTTGGTGAGAATGTATCTCTACAATAAAATCAAAAATTAGCTGGGCGTGGTAGCGCGCGCCCGTAGTTCCAGCTACTTGGAAGGCTGAGGCAGAAGGATTGCCGGAGCCCAGTAGTTCGAGGCTGCGGTGGCCGGGAGCGGCCACTACACTCCAGTCTGGGTGACAGAGTGAGACTCCAACTCAAAAAAAAAGTCAGAAGTCTGAATGGGTAGGAAAGTTTTGGGTTTTGCTTCAAATAAAATAATTACACATATACATAAATTATATGCAGAGTAAATATCTTGAAACTTTGAGTGTCTTGATAATCTTCACCACGAAATCATTACAAACTAAGATGGTATCATAGCGTGTTAAGTGTTTTCTTTTTGGTTTGTTTTTAATCTCCCTTAACCAAAACCAGGTTAATGAAGGAAAATAAAGCAGTTTATGCTAAAAGCCCTTCTCGCCTCCATAAATAAAACAAGTAATCTGAAATATATCCAAAATTGTGATAACTACCTTCCAGTGTTTTCTGGGTATAAACTTATTGTGCATTTAAAAGAAGACCAAGCCAGGCTTGGTGGCTCAGCCTGTAATCCAAGCACTTTGGGAGGCTGAGGTGAGTGGATTGCCTGAGCCCGCGGGTTCGAGACCCTCCTGGGCAGGCGAGACCTCATCTCTACAATAAATCAAAAAATTAGCTGGGCGTGGTAGCACGTGCCTGTAGTTCCAGCTACTTGGAAGGCTGAGGCAGAAGGATCGCCGGAGCCCAGCAGGTCGAGGCCACTGCACTCCAGTATGGGCGACAGTGAGACTCCAACTCAAAAAATAAAAAAAATTTTTTTAAATTTTAAAAAATAATAAAAGAAGACCAATGTCCAAGTTAAAACTACCCAGTTGTTTTTAAAGGATAATTTAAGACAAATTAATTTCTAATCTGTCTAAATAAATTTAAAACATCTTATAGTAATAATTCTCTCAATGCTTACGGGCCGCCTGTCAAAATGTTAGTCATATTCTTTCCTAATTATTTAACACAACTGCAAGCATCAAAAATAAAACTAGGTTATTGTTCTGCTAAGCTATGGTCTGGCCATGTGCTCTTTGAGCTGTGGCTGCCAAGTTTTCTTAGCTTTGGCCCCCTCCCATACCTTGGAGAGGTGAAACTTCTCTCTCTCCTCTCTCTAATTTACTTCTAGCCATTGTTTTGTTGAACCCTGGAGTGCCCACGTGCACTTTGAGCTACGACCACCATGTATCTTGGCTTTGGTGCCCCACTCTACCTTGGGAGGTGAATCTCCTCTCTCTTCTCTCTAATTTACTTTCTAAATAGATTATATTTTCTAATCGAAATAAAAAAATAAATAAAACTACATTTCTGGTACTGAACATCATTAATTTTAGGGACGTCAGAAGAAAAATGTTTACAAATTAGCTAAGATCAGAACAGTACATATGTGTTTACAAAGAGCAAGCAACCTTTAAATTATTCAATATTTTAATATAGAGTCTAATATACAAGTCATACGCTTTAAAACATAAAATCTGAGGTATTCTAGGCTATAAGAATATAAGCAGTCGGGCTCAGTGGCTCAGCCTGTAATCCAAGCACTTTGGGAGGCTGAGGTGAGTGGATTGCCGGATTCGAGACTCACCTGGGCAACTTGGCGATACCTCATCTCTACAATAAATCAAAAAAAAAAAAAAAAAA